AGCTCTGAAGCTGAGAGCTAACCCTACCAGATACTGCAAGCACAGAGGCCTGCTGAGGCACAGAAGTGAGATGGCCATGTTCTCTGCTCTACAGAGGACAGTCCTCTCTCTGAACATGCCATTTGAATACACTCCAGTCCAAGGCCAAGTAGATCTAAGGATGGTGCAATGGGGTGGGTGGCAGGCTTGAAGGTGCCCATTGAGTGTTGCTACCTGGCGACAGGCAAGCAGACAGGGGCCCTAGTCACAGTATTCCCCACCAGGATGAGATGCATATTGCATTTCTGTTTCCATCAAAGCAATTATCTCCAAGCCTTTCTCTATGCATGCCTATTAGTACATTCACGGTTACTGTTAATCAGTGTAACTTTGGTAATGCAGAAGTGGCCGCCCCTGAGTGTAGATGGGTCTTCAGCATTCCCTTTTGTTCCATTCTGCCCTTCCTCTTCCCTGCACACAGTGGTAAAGAAAAGGAGTAGAAGCGGTGCTGGAATTTCAGGAGGTCCATAAAGGCCCAAACCCTTTGATTCTGCAATTCCTTCCACTGTTGTTTTAAGAAAACGACATACAGGAAGACTGCCATGAACGGGCTCGATTTGCCTTCCACTCACTTACAGCCACATGCATAATTTGGGCCCTGGATAGTAATTATGACTGCATCACACAGACATACACACATGAGACTCTCTTCCTTCCCGTGCATTCAAAAGTCTGATTTGTCACAGCGGATAAGATGTAATCCTTTGCATGTCTGGGCAGAAAAAAGGCTCACTGGGACTGGAGGAGAGCTTTGTGAATACCCCAGGCCAACAGAAAGACAAACAAGAGGGTCCTAGATCAAATCAAGCCAGAGCTTTCCCTAGAAGCAAAAAATGACAAAACCGAGCCTGTCATACTTCAGACACATCCTGGCAGGCAGGACTGCCTGAAGAAGACAATCATGCTAAGAAAAGTTGAAGGCAGAAGAAGAAAAGAAAGACCAAATGTGAGGTGGATGGAATTCATAAAGGAAGCCACAGCCTAGAACTTGGAAGAGCTGAATGGAGCTGCCCTGGACCAGACATGGTGGAGGGCTTTCTTTCATGCATAGGGGCACCATAGGTCAAAGACAACTTGATGGCAGATAACAGCATAGCAACAAAGGGGATTCTGCCTGCGGCATGCCAAGATCTGCCTGTATTTTCTTCTGTCCAGACATGCATAGGATTGTGCTTTAGTTTAGTTTTTGTCCCCCTTCTCCATATTGACAATGTGCCAGCTGAAATGTAGACCTCTGTATTTTAAATATACACTGCTGTGTTCGCTGCAGAAGGATTCCCTCAAAGAACAAGTTTTTATTAATTCTGAGATAATGGATTGTACTTATTTCAAAACCCAGAAGCTCCATAGCACAAAAGGATGTGAGGAGAGGCACGGTTTCATTATATCCTTTAGTTCATCAATTTTATCTATTCATCTTTTAATTGCAGAACTAGAATCCCCGAAGGGTCCTTGGTTGCTGAGGTGTGTAAGTTGAGAGGAAAACCCGCTTTTATACCCAGCAGGGGTGAGGGTGGTTTTAAAAACCCACAAAACCATCTATTTATGGCAGGAATTTAAGGAGGAAATCTGGGGAGGGCATAGAGATGGAGGACATGACAAAGAACAAAAATTAAATGAATCTCCAACTGTTAGTTGATGAAGTGAGAACGTATTGAACTAAGCCGCCGTGTAAACTTTATTAAAGGTCACACTAATGAATGGCTTAATTCTAGAATTATAAATTAACTCATGTGGTTTTTGCTTTGTGAACAACTGTGCTTTTCTGGATCTAACCCTCTCGCTAACAAATGCAGGCACCCGCAAGGAGAGATTGCAAGGTTGCATTTATATGGTGACACTGCCACCTACTGATTCATGGCAATGCTTGCATCTTGGGACGGCTCCGCCAAGAAAACTTGTTCTCATAGCACAAATAACCCTGCTGGAAACGGGAGACTACTGCACACATGTGCGCTCTGTCAAGTGTGGGGAGGGGAATCCAAGTGTGGCTGTTTCCTGCGACTCCATGTTTTCTGTGGCTCTGGGCTTCAGTGCAGTTTTCAAAACCTTGTGCATTCCATCACTGTGTTATATTTTATATTTTGTATTGTTAAACTGTCCTGAGACCTCGGTAATGGGACGGTCTAGAAAAGTTTTAAATTAAAAAAAAATCAACATACGGAAAGGGAGAAAAAGCATATTTCAAGTATTTGTAGTGCTTTGCCCACATTATCCTGAGAGCAACCCTGCAAGATGGAGCAATATTATTACTGATATTTTGCAAATAAGAAAGTGCAGGCAGAGAAACAAAAACTTTGGCCAACATCACAGTGGCTCATACTAAAGCATCTCCCAGTGCATAAGGGCTACATTCCTGATGGGGAAGGGTATATTTCTGTGTGTGTATATATACACATCATCCTATATATGGGTGATTTTGGCTTAAGTTGGAGGTGCAAATGCACTGCATGGTCTTGCTCAAGTCAAGAAGCAGACCGTTCAAGGCTGAGTTGTTTTGGGAAAGACGGTTATCTGCACTTCTTCCCCTACCCGACCTGGGTAAAGCTTCCATGTTGTTCTAAAAGAGAAAATCCCACAACTGATCTCTCCCTGGAAGCAAAAATATAGTATATTTATACAGCATTTCTTTTTAAAATATAGTACATAAATAACTCATTTAGAAACTAACAATTTACTGCTATTTCATGACAGTCAGAATCCATTTCCTAACGAAGATGCTTCACTCCATCTCATGGTAGGGCCAGCCCTAGGAGTCCTTTCCCTCCAAAAGCAGGCCCTTTGTGAAAGTTTAACGACATGGCAGAGTAATTTGATAGTCTTCTAAACATTAGAAGCACCATAATATGTTTCAGATTTCCCCCACTCCCATCCTGTCCCTTCCTTTCCTGTCCCTTCATTTCCTGTCCCGTCCCATCCTTCCCTCCAAGCTGCTGTAGACAGAATCACCTGCCTTTGAGGTCACAAAAGTGACTTTGAGGGACCTTCTGGAGGTGCAGAAGTAACATTCCAGTGCACACAGAGATAAGCGACCTGGAGGTGAAACATCCCAGGTGCCTGACCCCCCCCCCCCCCGGTAGCTCGTAGCTGCTGCAGCTGCTATGTGCCATCAAGTTGTCTCAAAACCTTTCCAGCCCTATGGATGGATGTCCCCCTAAAGGCCTGCCTGGGACAGGGGAAGAGGTCAAAGGGAGGGTGGGGAGGCCTAGAAAGTACCAGGAGCAGCCGGCAAGGCACATCCAGAAGCATCCAAGGCTGAGATTTCCGTGTAGCTTATTACACCCCAAGTCATATGTTCAACACCCTACAAATGACAGCCCACAGGCTGCCCCCCAGATCTCTCCCAGACATCTGCCATTGTGTTCCAAGCCTGTACCCACTTACCTGAGAGCAAGCCTTATTGAATCCAATCGTATTTGTTTCTGAGTAAATATGTATAAAATTCCACTGTACAGCAGCAATACAACAGACATTCTGCCCTCTAAAAGGCAGCATGCCTCATTTTGGTGTGGGTTTCCCCTACCCAGCCCTAGATTTAATGCTTCGTAACATATACATTTGCCCTGGTAAATTAACTGATGTCACCAATTTTCCCCAGGAAAAACAAGCCCCTCAAAACCAGGTAGCTTAATTTGTGGTATTAGCTAGCTCTATCAACAGTTTTCCACCACATCAGCAGAAACTGCTGTAAGGGAGGATTTCCACAAACATTTGCCAAGAACGAATGAAAGAAAAGCTAAAAGTCAAGGAACAATCAGTGTTGAATTGTAGATTTAAAATTGTGATTAGCCTCCGCATTCAGAAGTGGTAACTCCACCAGAAGCTTCAGTTTGCTGCAGCAAAGAGAAAATGTGAATGCTGGAGAGAGTAAATCAATATCTGGAGGAGATAAAAGGCAATAGAGAAATTGCTTGATAACTATTCAGATCTCGTGCAGACCCACCTTCCTGAAAAGGGTAATTAAAGCCATATTCTAATTAACATGTACTTTGCCCCCAATCAGAAGCATCCTTCGCAGGAAAAACTAATGAAGCTGGGAGAATAGGCTCTTCCTTGTAGATTTGTCTGAGTAAAAGGAAAGCAACCTCTAATAAGAAGCCTTTTTGAAAGCAAGAAAAGCCCTCTCAATAGCTGGGTACAAAAGATGCCAGAGCCCACACCTGGGACAGATGAGTCTCGATGGCCTCTTGCTTGGAATCAGAGGCAAATCGCACATGATCCGCAGACATATGTATTTAAATTCCAATAGCTGCACCAGCAAGGGAAAGAATTGCTGTGAGAAGACAACTTTTGGGACAGAAATGGCACAGTGTTTAACACCCCCCCCCCTCCATACTTCACTTCCACTGCAACACGCATCCAACATGAAGATGGCTTGGTTTACTGCAAGCCATTCATCCCATTTTCTCCTCCTGCTCCTGGTCCAAAGTTGTTCATTGGCCAGGTGGGCAGTGAAGAAAAAGCAGGTGTTCCTGCCCAACTTGTTTTCAGAGTCTGGTGGCTACCAGGAAAGATCCTTTTCTGTGGTGGCCTCCATCTAGGGAAAGCCCTCGTCAGGAAATTCCACAGGGCATCTCCACTGTATATCCTTGAATGCCTGGGTAAGACCTTCTTCTAACAGATGCTTTAATCATTAATCAGTTGCCCTGAGTATTAATGTTATGGCTCCTCTGTGTTTCCCATATCTTCAAAGTGTGGTTAATGTTTAATATTACATTATTTTGATACTCCGTTGTATTTTTTGTTGCTTTGTGTTGTTCTTTTGATTGCAGAGCACTCAGAAAGCAGTTGCCAGTTGGGTGGTACACATTTCCATGGAGCAGCTGTGCTCCCTTAGAGAAGTGGAACCCAACGACTCAGACACGCCCTGCACTTTTCGACACAACTTGTTAATACTTTGATCCGGACTCCCAAGACTTGACTTAAACCCCATGCTCACCATCTGTTTCTTGCACTTGCAGATGGACAGAAGTGAGTTCCAGCAAGATTCAGTTCTTAAGCAGCTGGAGGTACTCAAGGAGGAAGAGAAGGAATTCCAGAACCTGAAGGTAGTTGATTACAGGACTGAACTTTCTTTGTTGCTGTGTTGTGCCTTCTCCAACTTATGCAGCCTGATGAATGAATGCCCTGCAGAACATCCATGACAGCTCTGCTCCGCTCTTCCAAATTCAAGGCTGCAGCTTCCTTTGGGAAGTCAAGCCATCTCATACCCAGGATTGAGCTTTCCCTGTGCAGACGACTGAGCATCCTGGGGATTCGCTTTCCCAGAGGTAACTTGGTCAATCATGTCTGTAACTGCCAAAATCCAAGCAGAGAGAAGTTTGCTGCCATACAAAAGAAGTTAAGCCAGAACATTCAAGATTAAAGTCATTAAAGTATCATTAAAATGCCCCTCCACTATATGAAAGGCACAATGACGTGCAGAGGGTGGATTCATGCACTGCCTTTGTTGTTTTTTTCAAAGGAATTACAGTCCCATGAAACATGGGCTAATTCACACACCTAAACTCAAGCACACTGAGACTATGGAAGGGCATGTAGCACATAAGAACCCAGGACACCGGTGGCAAACCTATGGCACACGTGCCACAGCGGGCACGCAGAGCCCTCTCTGTCAGCACTTGAGCCAAGTCACCCCGGCATCGCCCCAGCAGCCGAGCATAGGAAAACAGCTCACACAGGGGCCATGCGGATGCTTGGAAAGGAGGAGTGGTGCCAGGGGATGATGTCACGAGCTGTGACTCATTCGCATGGCCGGTCAGTGTGCTGCCAAGGAGATATATATATATATTTGGTTGGACTGGCTGTGAGGTGTTTTTTCTAAACTAAAACCTCAGAAATGATGAGCTGCACAGAAAAAGCTATTCAAGGAAGGCCTTTTCAAAATTGTCCTCTTTTCAATCGCATTAGGGTTAGAAGTGTGCACCAGGGTAGGGTGAGGGTTAGAAAAATGAGGTGTCCTGTCATGGTTTTAATGGTTGGAATGTGTTTAGAATGGGCAGAAATGATGAGCTGTACAGAAGAAGCAACTCACGGAAGGCTTTTTCAAAATCGTCCTCTGTCCACTGGAAAACATTGGCTTTTGTTTAGCAAGGAACACAAGAAGCATATGACCAACTTGAATGAAATTTGCATTCCTTCGTAGCTATGGGAGAACTATTTAGATATTAAACAAGGCACACATTTGCCATGCACATTGTTTTACAAAGGAAATGTGGCTTCTGCCACAGTGTTGGGGGCCTTCAAAAGGCCAAAAAGGTGTGCAGCTCCTGTGCCATGAGTGGAGCACCTCTTCAATGCTATTAGGCGGCAGGTTCCCTGGATTTCAGTGAGAAGTCCTTCCGTCCCAGTGTGACCATAATGGGAACTTGGCATGCTGGCTCACGCTCTTCCCCACATTCATCCAGTGGGTAACCTCCTGGTGGCCAAAGTTCAAGGGCACTCAGTTCATCTCTGTCCAGCTAGCCCTGTTCTTTGGGCAGGATTCTTCCTTCCCAACCAACTCTGAGCCAGTTCCCCCATGTGTGTGCGTCTCCTCCATTTCCTCTGGATCGTTGCACCAACCAAAATAATTTAACATTGACTTTTCCTCTTCCTTAATGACGATTTCAGTTGAACAATCTCTTTTTCACATACACATGAGGAAGCCACATTTCCCAAAGCGGGCGCTTTCCTTTGAAACATCAAGGCCTTTATCTTCTGGCTGAGATCTTTGCCGTGTAGCATCTGCTGACATGAAACAAATCCCAGGTCAATCACAGCAGCTTTCTCAAATGGGTTGCAACAAAGTGGGTTTTCAAAGGAGGTTTGCCTCTCTCCTTCCATTCCTTTCTGGAGAGAGATGGGGAGGGGAAAGTGGTGGGGGGCACGATTAATTGATTAATTAATAGGATGTGACACTATTCATTAATCTGAATGGTTTCCATGGCAATAGAGACACCATCTGCATCTCTTTGGTGCAAGGTGGGAGCTGTCCGGGCTGAATCCCAGCTGGGTTAAAGATCTGTCCACTGAAATGAAGGAACAAGGAGTTGCAGCACTTGAAGACTAATATATTCTAACATAAGCTAATCCCCATGAAAGTTCATGCCAGAGCAGATTTGTTAGTCTTTAAGGTAAGGGCAGGCAAATCCAGAAATCATTTTTGCTAGCCCAATACACACACACACCAGCCCACCAAGTACAAATGCACTTCTTGAAAGTAAGTACAATCTGAAAGATCGAAAGCAAGCAAGATTTTGACATTTAATGGTGAAATCCTACAGAAGTGAGCATGAGCCCCAGATGTGGAGGATCACAGTCATCCAATGCAGAGCAGGAGGAGGAAGAGGCGCTACCTTCACTTCCCTGCTCATCCACACCTGCATTTTCACTTGGCAGCCATTTTTGCCAGCTGCAGCATTTCAAAAGAGGGGGCAAGAAGGTGGCTGCGTGTTAGGGTTGTCCTAGTAGCCTTCTCTCTGCAGGACACAAAACATGAGCGGCCTTTCCCTCTGTAAGGGTGCGGACCTGATTGTGTGGGTCTGCCCCCGGAGCCAGATGGATCCGGATGGATTCCGGAAGACCCTGGAGGAGTTCCCGGCTGACAAGACTGGTGCTCATCCCTGCTTTAGGGTGCCACAAGATTCTCGGTTATTTTTGCTGTAATAAACTCACTCAGCTCCCCCTTTGGAAACTGAAAGTAAAGAGTAATTCATTAAAAAGATGAGCAAAGCAGAAATGCAAGTTCTTAGGAGAATCTTACTTCATAGAACAGATGGGCTTAATAAAATGGGGCAGATGTTAAACCCCTCTTTCCCGTGCTGAGGTGGTGAGTTGGGAGAGGCAGCTGCTATGAAAAGAAAAATAGATCACACCTTCCACATATTTCATCTGACCCCAAGTGTTTGACACTGTGGTATTGTCTGCCACATGGAACAGGGCATGGGAATGTGAGAGGCAGTTGAGCTAATTTAAGATTCGATATCTGCATAGAATCATCATTCTCCTGGGAAAGTCGCTAAAGGCAAGGCCGTGAAGCACTTTTAAAATGAAACAGGGACATTTTGCCAAAAACTGCAAAACCTCCAGAAGACTTAGGTAGTTTTTTTGTTCTTGTGTAAGACTCCCACCTCTAACAAACATTCATGACAAACTATATAATCACAGAAAAAATAGACCAGTGTGCTCCCAAGTGGAATGTTATTGTCCATTCCATTTTCCAAGGAATGGACCTCATCGGTGGTAGATCATGCCATGTTCTTCAAGTGACAAGCTAGAAACCTTTTAAGTAATGAAAGGATAACTTTTCACAGAAAATCAGTTTGCTGTTTCATATTTCAGCTGCTTCCATTTGTACTTTCGATATATTGTCTATTTCCCATATCACTTCCAAGCACCAAATGTATGTGCAGATACAAATGCCCACACCCACACATGCCCAACATCATAGGGTTTGTAGTCTTGAGATTGCCTGGAACTCACAGAAGATATTGCAAGAATATAGAACATTCCCTATTTTAATTTGTTGTTGTTGTTGTTAGTTGCAAAGTCATGTCCGACCCATTGCGACCCCATGGACAACACTCCTTCAGGTCTTCCTGTCCTCCACCATCCCTCGGAGTCCACCTAAGCTCACACCAACTGCTTCAGTGACTCCATCTAGCCTCCTCATCCTCTGCCGTCTGGAAGTAAAAACAGCCTCATGTTTCACAAAAGAAACATCAGTGGATCAGATCAACAGGGTGACAATAATTTGGATTTACATTTTACCTGCAATTTTTCAGAACCCTGTTGCCACAGAGCTCTTGGTTTCAAACCATTCTGGGCAGAAGAATGCACCCAAAGAAAAGGGACTGTTAAATTTTCAGTGGAAAAGCACACACCTGTGATTCACAGTTAGACAACACTTTTATTAGAATCAACCAACATTTCACAGAAAATGCACAAGCATTCAAGATTCCAGAATTCTTCATTAGCCTTGGTGGTACAAAGAGCAGGGGAGGATGGAAAGAAACAAAGAGTCCACAAATCAGCCCAGGTGTTGTGGCCATGAGGTCTGCATTTCAAAATGGTGGTTTTCAGACTGAGTAAATGAGTTGTGATAGATGCTCAGGTACCAGATTGCAACCAGCAATACATTCTGGAATAGAAAAACAACCGTTTCTCAAAGCAAAGACAGGCAGACTCTAATCTGTCTCTTGTTTTGGGTGAAATGCAAGACCTGAGTCAACCCAGAGAAGAAATGCAGATTTTCCCCCTTTTATTTAATGTTTTAATAGACATATGTGCATTTGTGCAATCATGAACACATACAGATTTCACCTATATGACAATGTAGCTTACTAGCAATCATACGTAGGTTTCAGGGAGGCCAAATATCTGATATCCTTGAAGGTAATGTCTATATGCTGCTCATTCAAATATTGAAAACATTGTAAGTCCCTTGATCCATGGTATTATGAGGTGATAAGTGCTCAGTGTTTTTTTTTACTTTTAGCTGTCAAGAGGGCGTAGAGAAAATATTTACACTGACCATTCATTGATTTCCATGAAGCAGGTAAATCGTTTAAAAGAGCAAATATTAAGCACTCTTCTGGTACAAATATTATCTGTCTAATAAATTCCTCCCCAAAAGAAGCAAATACTTCTTTTAAGCATAGGCTTAGAAGAAGAGTTAACTGCACTGAACTGCCAGCCAAATTGGCCAGACTGGATAATTTCTAATTAAAGAGAGGTTGCAGGGTCTAAAAGACAAATTTTTTCCTGTATCAGATGATGTGTAAGAACTAGAGATGCTATAGGCATGGATAGCAACACAGTAACTTACTGATTAAGCAAGAATGACCCTCTGACCAATTATTCTGACCTGCTCAAAACCCCATATATCCTATTTGCTCACCAAAAGTTGGAATTGATAGGCATGAGTCATGAGTTGTGTTGCCTCACCATCTTCCATAAGTCATGGCTGGAGCTCTAGAAGCCAGCCAAGCCAGGCTTAGGTTCCAACAAATGCCAACAAGTATTGCCAGTTAGCCAAAGCAGGCGAAATTTGGCATGCAAAACAGAAAATGACAAAACTCGTCATCAGCACCTGCCCGTTGATCCAAAGTGGTCTCTACAAAAACATTTTCTCACTACTGTTTAGATCTCGTTTGTCCCGTAAAGTCAATTTAGTTTGAGAAAATAGATCAAAGTATAACTGACATGACATGACTAACATGACATTTCTTGCTGCAGAAACAATGGAAGAAACCAAGTTAGTTCTTACAAGGCTAGCATGCCCTCAGTTTAGAGACAGGAGTCAAACAAGACAACTTCAAAACTGTCCAAGGCAGGAGCTTTGAGGCAGGTAGGAAAGGCCAGAACGCCTCAGCAGATCACCCATCATACAAGATCCAGAACATCAATGCCAGCGTCTTTAATTGGAGGTTGCATCCTTTTCAGAGCTGATCCTGACAAACCATCCCCTCCACATACGCATGCAAATCACAAACCATGCACTGTTTATCTGAGCATATTCACCAGGTATAGATAAGAGAATCACACATGTAACACAATCAGTCTTAAGTAGTGTTGTGATAAAGCTCCCCGGAATCCATCTCTCATAGCAAGTAAACCAAGTTTGGGGGATTCTGGTTGCACAACCAGCAACCCTCTTCCACAAACAAGAGCCACAAGTCCCGTGTATGGGAGACCAATGTTGCTCACCAGAAAATGCACTCACAGTGGCAGGGAGGCCAAATGGGGTCCCTGGAGCCAAGCCCTGGGAATCCACCGGATTCCCTCCCACAAATGTGTTTCCTTAAAACTCTCTAACCTTTAGCAAAATATTCTGAGGATTATTACAATCTTTATATTAGCAAAGCCAGGGATGAACCTGGCTGCATCTCTGCAAGAAATAGCTAAGGAAGTCTCTAGTCTCATGGGAATCCTTCCTGGTCCAAACAAAACAGAGATCATTTGAAACACTTCCTTGGTCTGGTTGGAACAATTCACAGGTCTGGGTTGTTTTGCTGCTGTGGTGCAGCCTGGTCTCCCATGTAACTTGAGAAGACTGCCACAACCTCCATGGATTCACCCTCTCACCATTCCTTCCAGGACCCCACCAATGGCTATTACAGCGTGAACACCTTCAAAGATCACCACTCCACACCCACCATCTCCCTTTCGGGCTGCCAGCCGGACCTGAGACCGGCCAACAAGCAGCGTGTGCCAACCGGCATGTCCTTCACCAACATCTACACAACCCTGAGTGGGCAGAACCGCCTCTATGACTACAGCCAGCGCTTCGTCCTGGGCATGGGCAGCAGCTCCATCGAGCTGTGCGAGCGGGAATTCCAGCGGGGCTCCATGAGCGACAGCAGCTCCTTCCTGGACACGCAGTGCGACAGCAGCGTCAGCAGCAGTGGCAAGCAGGACGGCTACGTACAGTTCGACAAGGCCAGCAAGGCCTCAGCCTCCTCTTCCCACCACTCACAGTCCTCGTCTCAAAACTCAGACCCCAGCCGGCCCCTGCAGAGGAGAATGCAGACCCACGTGTGAAGGGGCGAGGCAGGACTGGAAACCACGAAGACGGGGACAGGAAGCAGGAGGGGACTGGCCAACCAACCGAGGGGGCACGGCCCCAAGCAGGCCGAAGCCTGGCCCGGCCAGCAGCTGGGGCTGTGCTGACGCCAGCGGGTTCTAGGCAGGGTGGAGGCAGCTCTGTGCTTTCCTTTGCCTTCTAGGGACTTTTAATTCCTCAAAGCACTTTCTCCTTGCTCCCGAGTCAAAGCTGCAGCCCACAAGGTGAATGGGGCTAGAATAAGGCTGTGTTGCAGACGTACACCTACCTACCTACCTTCCTTCCTTCTACTTCCCTCCCTCCCTCCCTAGACCTGGTCTCCACATTTAGTGGTTGGGGGAGATTCTACGGCAGCTGAAGCCAAACCAATCTTAAGCACAATGTTTGTTTCCTTCCTGCAGCAGACTGGGCTTAGGGGAATGGGAACAAAGAAAGGCAAAAGCCAAAACAGCTTATTTGGGGAACTATAGGTTGAAACAAAACCCACAAGCTCACTTTTCCAAATGTGTAATCTATTGCCTCTGCTTCCACGGGAAGGCCAAGGTTCCAAAAACCCACAGTCATCAGGGGAACATTAAGGAAGCATTCCTTCCCTTGTTCATTCCCAATAAGATGACCTGCCTGGCCACAGGATGTTTCTGAGACAGTACGTGTCCTTCCCGTTGACCAGCCATTTTGTATTTCCCAGATCCTCCAGAGAGTAGCTTCTCCAGTTATACTGGTTGGGAGAGACAGACGCGCTATCTTCCTCGTGAGATCACTGTCAAATCCTCTTGTCGTCGGTCACTTCAGAAGAAAGGACAGCCGATGCTCCGAGCATCTTTCCTCCTTCCCCTCTTCCTTTCTGATGCCACTCCATGATTGTGAACTTTTTGAAGATGGTGCACCTTCAGTGCTGTTCAGTTTGCCTTCCTGCTGCTTCATCCCATTTCCAAATTGTACTCCCAAAATGTGCTTTTTGAGCAACCTCAAAGATTGTGGCTTCATTTAAGGAAGTTCAGTGTGAGTGGGGAGGGGAACAGCCATTGGTGTAACTCAATGTACACTGACTACTATTTCTGTTTTTTGGGTTTTTTCCTTTCTTTCTTTTGTTTGGTGTTGAGTGTTCATAATATTACAGTGTGTCTTTGGACAAAAAAGAAAAAAAGAACCCAAACCCTGGAGTTGAGAACTTTTCAGAGTCGCTTCTCCGCACCGTTCACACACACACACACACACACACACACACACACACACACACCAGGAATACTTTCAGGATCCGTTGCAGAGGAGCACTTGGTGGATGGAGTCTGAACCCCTCGTCCCCGTGAGATGTGACAATCACAGAGAAGAGCTTCCCAAAGGGGGCTACTGCGAATGGCCACGGGGCATTTTCTTATGGCTACTTGTGGATACCCTGCCCCCTCCTTTTACCACCACCCCCAGCCCTTCAATAGCACAACTGGAAAATTAATACAAGAATTGTTCCAAGTGCCTTTGCAGTGGGTTATTGGAAAGCTTATAGAACAAAGGGTCTCCCTTCCAAAAGAGAAACCATGCAAAACTTGCAGGGGGAAAGTGCCTCCATGGGGTGTCTTCCAACGGGTCAGTGCGTAGGATTAAGTGAACCCTCAGGAAGCAGCAAGAAAAAGTAGGAGAGCTGGTCTTCCTAGCCTGACTAGCCAACCAGCTGTAGGAACTGCACCCTTGTTGTTGGTCGCTCAATGACTTCCATCTGCGATGTAGCAAGTGGGTGACCAGGACAAACTGTGCCGATCGGATGCACATTGGATGCAGCTCTGACCTCCTTAATTGCCATTTGCAGGGGGGGTTTGGCTGTTTCTGCATCTGGGCACAAGGCTACTTTCCCACGTAATGAGCACTAGCTGAGAAGATCTAGCTTTCTCTAGATCTAGGAATCACTCATTATGATGCTTCATTGTGATGAGTCTAAGAAAGATGACAAAATCAACTTTCTGAAACAGAAGGCGGACCATGAGATGGGGCTGGAACGAGCCAAGCACGCAGCATGGATTTCCATACACATCCAAACTGAGTGGACCAAATTATTCTGGTGGGTTGGGGCAGGGGAACAGGAGGTCTTGCCAAGCATCTGGCTGCATTCTGGTGAAAACCAGGCCCTCTTTGACATAGATCGCATCCTGCTGTGTTTCCCTGTTACCCATAATGTGCTGTGTTGTGGCCTGTGCAGCAATGTGGGAAACTCTTGTGGACCACAACAGAAAATCTTTGGAGGCCTGCCTATTTCTGGAAGATTCTGCCCTGCCACATTTGGACCTTAAACACTTACAGGAAATGTCATTGTAGCACACGTGCAGTCTGTGAGAGGGAGCCCAGGACTGTGCATGTTTATTCCCTGGCACACATTCCCCACTTCACTGTCCCTGAGGTCAGTGGCATGAGCTGGGAGGTGACTTAAACAGAAGGCAGAAGGCCCCTTGGGTGATGCTGATCCCAAAGTGTCATGCCGCCTGCCAAACAACATGGCCCAGGCTGCTTATTCCTTGTCTCTTCTGTCTTAGAAGGGGATTTACTGCCCTCTACAGTCACAGACAGGCTGGGACACTTTTGCTGCCTGTGATGAAGAACAAAATGGCTCTTCTTCCTCATTCCATGCACAACAGGAGGATGGTGTCCCTCTTGCCCTCGATGGAGTGGAATGACCGGGGCGTCCAGGAGGAAGAGGCGAGAGGCAGCCTGGTGTCTGGCACAGCTGACTCTCTCCGCCTAAGAGCAGAGCTGGGCCTGCCTAAAGCAGTCTTGTCAATATGATGCCCCCAGGTGAGTTGGATAGGGAGTGTGGGGGGATGCTGGAACAGTAGTGCAATATATTTGAGGCCCCCGGCCTGGGAAAGCTGGCCTTCGAGGACCCGGTCTGAGCCTCCACCCGTGAGATGCACAAGGCTGACACAGATGTGCTGCTAACTTACTATGGCCGGGTTCCCTCTACCCAAGTCACGGACCTGCTTCTGGGGGAAAGCAGTTGGGACTGCAGGGGGGCTCCCGTGATTCCTCCCCCCCTTCCCTTTAAAAAAGGGTCCTGCACGTAGAAAGCTAGTATGTCAAGGAGATGGCTAGGCTAGACCCGTTCTCCCTGGTGCGCTACAGTTTTCCTGCTTCCAGGTGTTCTCTTTGTAATGGAGGCACATTCTGTTTTTGTTTCCTTCATTGCAGTTCTGTACCTCCCAACAGCCAAGGCTCTCTGGGTGGTTTACAAAGATTAAAAGCCATTAAAAACGCATTACACGAGTATTTAAAAAATTATGTACAAACATATAAACAGGCAGCGTGCGCACAGAGACATTCCATGCTGCGAACTCCCACTTGCAGCCTGAATTGGTGAAGCTTCCTCTGCGCCCAGTGCGCATGCATTCCATCCCCTTTGGGAACACTGGGCCTGTTACTGTCCTCGAGCTTAGGTCATAATAAGGTCTGGGCCATTCCAGGTAGACAAGAACAGAATATAAACTTCTACAGAAGGAGCAGTCCTTTGCTGAAACCACAAAGTTGCACAGCGTAGCAATGTTTCTTGTTCGGTTTGCAGTGTGTGCAAGATCCAATGTGGCTTTTGTGTTATTTTAACTCCCACTGTGCTATTACTAAAAATCTAGGAAAGCAGGCAGGATGCTGAAGGCAGGCTGTACGGACATGCCCTCGTTCGCCTCCACAGGGTTGCTTGAACCTCTTTCCAAATTCTATTTTGAAGATGCACTCATTGACGTTGTAGGTGACCAAATGCAAAAGAAACAAAGCCAAAAGGCCAAAGTATATTGTAGCTTGGACCTCTTATAAGCAGCAACTAACCCTTGGAGAGGCCGTTCAATCTTTTAGAATGGGGAAAGGACTGCACTCAATCCAGGCAATGCCAAACCATCAGAGGCTGGTGTGAAAGAGCACAGCCATGGAGGAGACCCTGAAGGGCCATCTTTGGCCCCTTGGCCTGAAGTTGTGCATCCCTGCATTAACCCTTCACATGTTCACTTGAGCAGCTGCACAGGGCTCGTATATCTGCATGTGCCGCAACAGCCAGAACTGTACATGGTGCAGTTGCACCAGAAGTTTCCTGCAAGGGCTTGTTTCTCCTCTGGTTCGTAGCCTTTGAGTTGGTTTATGAGGCTCTACTTTTCCATTCATGCTTTTGCTGTGACTTTCCCAGCTTCCCCAGAACAGGGAAATGCAAGAAAAGCTACCACCCTCTCTTCTACTGGCCTGCCACAGATCAATATTCCAGTTGCCATCGGGGATCCAAAGTTTATAGCCTTCTTTGTGAGATAAAGAGAAAAAGGCAGGAGGGAAAGAGAATCAGAGCTGTCACTGGCCTTATGTAAGAAGTTAGCATAAGGATGCCTTATACCGAGCCTGACCACCAATCCAGTACCATGCATGGGCCTTCCTCAACATGGTGGTCTTTAGATGGTGGCCACCCAGAAGGCTTGGTCTATTGGGCGATAGAGGGAGTTGATACGCGAATCCTAGCGTTGAACTAGGGCTCCAGTCGTCTCCTCCATGGGAGAACAGGAGTTATAGCTCAAAACATCTGGAGGATGGCAGGTTGGGAAAGAAGTTCTCCGGGTTTCTGTCTTTCCTAGCCCTACCAGAGATGCTGGGGATGGGAGCTGGGACCTTGTGTACTCGGGCTCTGCAAAAGCATATGTGCTTTTAGCACTCAACTTCAGCCCTTCCACAAGACTCATCACCCTCATAAACTTTCATGAAAACCTGGGATGGGATGGAATTTCGTCATCAAATCCTAAGCATGTTAACACCGTTGGGACACAATCCAACCATCCCTGCAGCTGAAGTGCATAAGCCTATAGGTGTACAAGTGGCCGATCTCAGAAATCAGCACAGCAACAGTGGTGTTTGCTGCCAGACCTTGGTTCCTGCGTCTTCCATTTCCAGCCATCTAGTTTTCGTGCAGGGGAGGGGTAGGGAGGGTGGCCAGTGGCCAAGTGTAAATGGCATGACTGTGTGGCCCCA